AATGTTACCTGTTAAAGGTATGAATGCTCACAAATAGTAACAAAATGTTACCTGTTAAAGGTATGAATGCTCACAAATAGTAACAAAATGTTACCTGTTAAAGGTATGAATGCTCACAAATAGTAACAAAATGTTACCTGTTAAAGGTATGAATGCTCACAAATAGTAACAAAATGTTACCTGTTAAAGGTATGAATGCTCACAAATAGTAACAAAATGTTACCTGTTAAAGGTATGAATGCTCACAAATAGTAACAAAATGTTACCTGTTAAAGGTATGAATGCTCACAAATAGTAACAAAATGTTACCTGTTAAAGGTATGAATGCTCACAAATAGTAACAAAATGTTACCTGTTAAAGGTATGAATGCTCACAAATAGTAACAAAATGTTACCTGTTAAAGGTATGAATGCTCACAAATAGTAACAAAATGTTACCTGTTAAAGGTATGAATGCTCACAAATAGTAACAAAATGTTACCTGTTAAAGGTATGAATGCTCACAAATAGTAACAAAATGTTACCTGTTAAAGGTATGAATGCTCACAAATAGTAACAAAATGTTACCTGTTAAAGGTATGAATGCTCACAAATAGTAACAAAATGTTACCTGTTAAAGGTATGAATGCTCACAAATAGTAACAAAATGTTACCTGTTAAAGGTATGAATGCTCACAAATAGTAACAAAATGTTACCTGTTAAAGGTATGAATGCTCACAAATAGTAACAAAATGTTACCTGTTAAAGGTATGAATGCTCACAAATAGTAACAAAATGTTACCTGTTAAAGGTATGAATGCTCACAAATAGTAACAAAATGTTACCTGTTAAAGGTATGAATGCTCACAAATAGTAACAAAATGTTACCTGTTAAAGGTATGAATGCTCACAAATAGTAACAAAATGTTACCTGTTAAAGGTATGAATGCTCACAAATAGTAACAAAATGTTACCTGTTAAAGGTATGAATGCTCACAAATAGTAACAAAATGTTACCTGTTAAAGGTATGAATGCTCACAAATAGTAACAAAATGTTACCTGTTAAAGGTATGAATGCTCACAAATAGTAACAAAATGTTACCTGTTAAAGGTATGAATGCTCACAAATAGTAACAAAATGTTACCTGTTAAAGGTATGAATGCTCACAAATAGTAACAAAATGTTACCTGTTAAAGGTATGAATGCTCACAAATAGTAACAAAATGTTACCTGTTAAAGGTATGAATGCTCACAAATAGTAACAAAATGTTACCTGTTAAAGGTATGAATGCTCACAAATAGTAACAAAATGTTACCTGTTAAAGGTATGAATGCTCACAAATAGTAACAAAATGTTACCTGTTAAAGGTATGAATGCTCACAAATAGTAACAAAATGTTACCTGTTAAAGGTATGAATGCTCACAAATAGTAACAAAATGTTACCTGTTAAAGGTATGAATGCTCACAAATAGTAACAAAATGTTACCTGTTAAAGGTATGAATGCTCACAAATAGTAACAAAATGTTACCTGTTAAAGGTATGAATGCTCACAAATAGTAACAAAATGTTACCTGTTAAAGGTATGAATGCTCACAAATAGTAACAAAATGTTACCTGTTAAAGGTATGAATGCTCACAAATAGTAACAAAATGTTACCTGTTAAAGGTATGAATGCTCACAAATAGTAACAAAATGTTACCTGTTAAAGGTATGAATGCTCACAAATAGTAACAAAATGTTACCTGTTAAAGGTATGAATGCTCACAAATAGTAACAAAATGTTACCTGTTAAAGGTATGAATGCTCACAAATAGTAACAAAATGTTACCTGTTAAAGGTATGAATGCTCACAAATAGTAACAAAATGTTACCTGTTAAAGGTATGAATGCTCACAAATAGTAACAAAATGTTACCTGTTAAAGGTATGAATGCTCACAAATAGTAACAAAATGTTACCTGTTAAAGGTATGAATGCTCACAAATAGTAACAAAATGTTACCTGTTAAAGGTATGAATGCTCACAAATAGTAACAAAATGTTACCTGTTAAAGGTATGAATGCTCACAAATAGTAACAAAATGTTACCTGTTAAAGGTATGAATGCTCACAAATAGTAACAAAATGTTACCTGTTAAAGGTATGAATGCTCACAAATAGTAACAAAATGTTACCTGTTAAAGGTATGAATGCTCACAAATAGTAACAAAATGTTACCTGTTAAAGGTATGAATGCTCACAAATAGTAACAAAATGTTACCTGTTAAAGGTATGAATGCTCACAAATAGTAACAAAATGTTACCTGTTAAAGGTATGAATGCTCACAAATAGTAACAAAATGTTACCTGTTAAAGGTATGAATGCTCACAAATAGTAACAAAATGTTACCTGTTAAAGGTATGAATGCTCACAAATAGTAACAAAATGTTACCTGTTAAAGGTATGAATGCTCACAAATAGTAACAAAATGTTACCTGTTAAAGGTATGAATGCTCACAAATAGTAACAAAATGTTACCTGTTAAAGGTATGAATGCTCACAAATAGTAACAAAATGTTACCTGTTAAAGGTATGAATGCTCACAAATAGTAACAAAATGTTACCTGTTAAAGGTATGAATGCTCACAAATAGTAACAAAATGTTACCTGTTAAAGGTATGAATGCTCACAAATAGTAACAAAATGTTACCTGTTAAAGGTATGAATGCTCACAAATAGTAACAAAATGTTACCTGTTAAAGGTATGAATGCTCACAAATAGTAACAAAATGTTACCTGTTAAAGGTATGAATGCTCACAAATAGTAACAAAATGTTACCTGTTAAAGGTATGAATGCTCACAAATAGTAACAAAATGTTACCTGTTAAAGGTATGAATGCTCACAAATAGTAACAAAATGTTACCTGTTAAAGGTATGAATGCTCACAAATAGTAACAAAATGTTACCTGTTAAAGGTATGAATGCTCACAAATAGTAACAAAATGTTACCTGTTAAAGGTATGAATGCTCACAAATAGTAACAAAATGTTACCTGTTAAAGGTATGAATGCTCACAAATAGTAACAAAATGTTACCTGTTAAAGGTATGAATGCTCACAAATAGTAACAAAATGTTACCTGTTAAAGGTATGAATGCTCACAAATAGTAACAAAATGTTACCTGTTAAAGGTATGAATGCTCACAAATAGTAACAAAATGTTACCTGTTAAAGGTATGAATGCTCACAAATAGTAACAAAATGTTACCTGTTAAAGGTATGAATGCTCACAAATAGTAACAAAATGTTACCTGTTAAAGGTATGAATGCTCACAAATAGTAACAAAATGTTACCTGTTAAAGGTATGAATGCTCACAAATAGTAACAAAATGTTACCTGTTAAAGGTATGAATGCTCACAAATAGTAACAAAATGTTACCTGTTAAAGGTATGAATGCTCACAAATAGTAACAAAATGTTACCTGTTAAAGGTATGAATGCTCACAAATAGTAACAAAATGTTACCTGTTAAAGGTATGAATGCTCACAAATAGTAACAAAATGTTACCTGTTAAAGGTATGAATGCTCACAAATAGTAACAAAATGTTACCTGTTAAAGGTATGAATGCTCACAAATAGTAACAAAATGTTACCTGTTAAAGGTATGAATGCTCACAAATAGTAACAAAATGTTACCTGTTAAAGGTATGAATGCTCACAAATAGTAACAAAATGTTACCTGTTAAAGGTATGAATGCTCACAAATAGTAACAAAATGTTACCTGTTAAAGGTATGAATGCTCACAAATAGTAACAAAATGTTACCTGTTAAAGGTATGAATGCTCACAAATAGTAACAAAATGTTACCTGTTAAAGGTATGAATGCTCACAAATAGTAACAAAATGTTACCTGTTAAAGGTATGAATGCTCACAAATAGTAACAAAATGTTACCTGTTAAAGGTATGAATGCTCACAAATAGTAACAAAATGTTACCTGTTAAAGGTATGAATGCTCACAAATAGTAACAAAATGTTACCTGTTAAAGGTATGAATGCTCACAAATAGTAACAAAATGTTACCTGTTAAAGGTATGAATGCTCACAAATAGTAACAAAATGTTACCTGTTAAAGGTATGAATGCTCACAAATAGTAACAAAATGTTACCTGTTAAAGGTATGAATGCTCACAAATAGTAACAAAATGTTACCTGTTAAAGGTATGAATGCTCACNTACACACTCACAATGTACTAGAGAACGTTACATTCTACATGTACACACTCACAATGTACTAGAGAACGTTACATTCTACATGTGTAGATACAATGCACAGATATGTAAATAAGCTACAAGGTGATCAAAGTTAAGTTCCTGGTGTTTTGTAAACACAGTGAAACATGAAATAGTGTTAAACAGTTTGTTTCATAAAACTGCTCATTAATTATTTCTCCTTTCCAGTATGGATACAGATACATATACTGATTTGGACTCATACTAAAATTATATTCTACATCCAATACTTAGCCACCTTTAGCCATATTTGACAATTCCTACTTAGCCATATGATTGATAGATATTGGATGACATTTGAATAGGAGTTATAAATATTTCATAAGTTATTGTTCTGAAAGTGGGTATGTGCTGCTATTTAGCGGCTAGTGTGTTTATGTGTAAATGAATGATGTTCAAATGATGGTCATATTGTGTCAGAATGACAGATCACCACACCAATATTGATCCCAGTAATCCAGAAATGTGTCACTACTCAGTTTACATAGGCCGTTGTGCAAGTTTTGATGAGCATCTAAATCAGATTATGATGATTTATTAGTTGGAGTCAAATTGCATGTGTACTACAGCAGTTATCATGACCTTGTCTAAAATACAACTTTAATAATCCTGAACCAGCACACCATTGTTTAACATAGGTAGATGTTTTCAAAAAAACTAATAAATTCTAGTAGTTATTCAAATCTACTTATAGATCTATAAAGAGGTCTATGAAGTTATATAGATGTCTGTATAGAGGTTTATGTAGAGGTCTGTGTAGAGAGGTCTGTGTAGAGGTCAAAGTAAAGGTCTATGTAGAGGTCTGTGTATAGATCGGTGTAGAGGTTGGTGTAGAGGTCGGTGTAGAGGTCTATGTAGGGGTCTATGTAGGGGTCTGTATAGAGGTCTGTATTGAGGTTTATGTAGAAGTCTGTGTAGAGGTCAATGTAGGGGTCTGTGTATAGGTCGGTGTAAAGGTCTATATAGAGGTCTGTGTAGAGGTTTCTGTAGAGGTCTGTGTATACGTAGAGGTCTATGTAGGGGTCTGTGTATAGGTTGGTGTAGAGGTCTATAAAGAGGTCTGTGTATACGTAGAGGTCTATGTACGGGTCTGTATAGAGGTTTATGAAGGGGTCTGTGTAAAGGTCTATATAGGGGTCTATGTAAGGGTCTATGTAAAGGTCTATGTAGAGGTCTGTATATAGATCGGTGTAGAGGTCAGTGTAGAGGTCGGTGTAGAGGTCTATGTAGAGGTCTATGTAGGGGTCTGTATAGTGGTCTGTATTGAGGTTTATGTAGAGGTCTGTGTAGAGGTCTATGTAGGGGTCTGTGTATAGGTCGTTGTAGATGTCTATATAGAGGTCTGTGTAGAGGTTTCTGTAGAGGTCTGTGTAGAGGTCTATGTAGAGGTCTGTGTAGAGGTCTATGTAGGGGTCTGTGTATAGGTCGGTGTAGAGGTCTATAAAGAGGTCTGTGTAGAGGTTTCTGTAGAGGTCTGTGTATACGTAGAGGTCTATGTAGGGGTCTGTGTATAGGTCGGTGTAGAGGTCTGTATAGAGGTTTATGTAGAGGTCTGTGTAGAGGTATGTGAAGAGGTCTGTACAGAGGTCTATGTAGAGGTCTGTGTAGAGGTATGTGTAGAGTGCTGTGTATAGGTCGATGTAGAGGTCTATGTAGATATATGTGTGGAGGTCTTTGTAGAGGTCTATATAGGGGTCTATGTATTGGTATGTTTCTTGGTCTGTGTAGTGTTCTATGTAGAGGTCTAAGTAGAGGTCTGTGTAGAGGTCTATGTAGAGGTCTATGTAGGGGTCTATGTATTGGTATGTTTCGAGGTCTGTGTAGTGTTCTATGTAGAGGTTTAAGTAGAGGTCTGTGTAGATCTATGTAGAGGTCTATGTAGAGATATGTGTAGAGGTTTATGTAGGGGTCTATGTATTGGTATGTGTCGAGGTCTGTGAAGTGTTCTATGTAGAGGTCTGTGTAGAGGTATGTGAAGAGGTCTGTATAGAGGTCTATGTAGAGGTCTGTGTAGAGGTATGTGTAGAGGTCTGTGTAGAGGTATGTATAGAGGTCTATTTAGAGGTCTATGTAGGGGTCTATGTGGGGCTCTATGTAGGGGTCTATGTAGAGGTCTATGTAAGGGTCTATGCAGAGGTCTATGTAAGGGTCTATGCAGAGGTATGTATAGAGGTCTGTGTAGAGGTATGTATAGAGGTCTGTGTCGGGGTCTATGTTGAGGTCTATGAGTGTTCTATGTAAAGGACTATGTAGAGGTATGTATAGAGGTCTGTGTAGAGTTCTGTGTAGGGGTCTATGTAGAGGTCTATGTAGGGGTCTATGTAGAGGTCTATGTAGAGGTATATGTAGAGTTCTATGTAGGGGTATATGTAGAGGTCTGTGTAGGGGTCGTTGTAGATGTCTATATAGAGGTCTGTGTAGAGGTTTCTGTAGAGGTCTGTGTAGAGGTCTATGTAGGGGTCTGTGTATAGGTCAGTGTAGAGGTCTGTATAGAGGTTTATGTATAGGTCTGTATAGAGGATTATGTAGGGGTCTGTGTATAGGTCTGTGTACAGTGTAGAGGTCTATGTGGGGTCTTTGTACAGGCTTATGTAGGGGTCTGTGTATAGGTCTGTGTACTGTGTAGAGGTCTGTGTAGAGGTCTGTATACTGTGTAGAGGTTTGTGTAGAGGTCTGTATAGAGGATTATGTAGGGGTCTGTGTATAGGCCTGTGTACTGTGTAGAGGTCTGTGTGGGGTCTTTGTACAGGTTTATGTAGGGGTCTGTGTATAGGTCTGTATACTATGTAGAGGTCTGTGTAGAGGTCTGTGTAGAGTGCTGTGTATAGGTCGATGTAGAGGTCTATGTAGATATATGTGTGGAGGTCTTTGTAGAGGTCTATATAGGGGTCTATGTATTGGTATGTTTCTTGGTCTGTGTAGTGTTCTATGTAGAGGTCTAAGTAGAGGTCTGTGTAGATCTATGTAGAGGTCTATGTAGAGGATGTGTAGAGGTTTATGTAGGGGTCTATGTATTGGTATGTGTCGAGGTCTGTGAAGTGTTCTATGTAGAGGTCTGTGTAGAGGTATGTGAAGAGGTCTGTATAGAGGTCTATGTAGAGGTCTGTGTAGAGGTATGTGTAGAGGTATGCATAGAGGTCTATATAGAGGTCTATGTAGGGGTCTATGTAGGGCTTTATGTAGGGGTCTATGTTGAGGTCTATGAGTGTTCTATGTAGAGGACTATGTAGAGGTATGTATAGAGGTCTGTGTAGAGTTCTGTGTAGGGGTCTATGTAGAGGTCTATGTAAGGGTGTATGTAGAGGTCTGTGTAGGGGTCTATGTAGAGGTCTATGTAGAGGTATATGTAGGATCTATGTAGGGGTCTATGTAGGGGTCTGTGTATGGGTCTATGTAGAAGTATATGTAGGGGTCTATGTAGAGGTCTATGTAGAGGTATATATAGGATCTATGTAGGGGTCTGTGTAGGGGTCTATGTAGGGGTCTATGTAGAGGTATATGTAGAGTTCTATGTAGGGGTTTATGTAGAGGTCTGTGTAGGGGTCTATGTAGGGGTCTATGTAGGGGTATATGTAGAGGTCTGTGTAGAGGTCTATGTAGAGGTCTGTTTAGAGGTCTATGTAGAGGTATATGTAGAGTTCTATGTAGGGGTTTATGTAGGGGTCTGTGTAGGGGTCTATGTAGGGGTCTATGTAGAGGTATATGTAGAGTTCTATGTAGGGGTCTATGTAGGGGTCTATGTAGGGGTATATGTAGAGGTCTTTGTAGAGGTCTATGTAGAGGTCTGTTTAGAGGTCTATGTAGAGGTCTATGAAGTTATATAGATGTCTGTATAGAGGTCTGTGTAGAGGTCTATGTAGAGGTCTATAAAGAGATATATGAAGTTATATAGATGTCTGTATAGAGGTTTATGTAGAGGTCTGTGTAGAGGTCTATGTAGGGGTCTATGTAGAGGTATATATAGAGGTATGTATAGAGGTTTCTGTAGAGGTCTTTGTAGAGGTCTATGTCGATCTCTTTACAGAAGTCTATGTAGAGGTATGTGTAGAGGATTGTGTAGTCATGTATTTTGAGGTCCTTGTAGAAAAGTTTTTATGGCAAAGAGTCCTTGAGGATGAACAAAAGGAAGCCTACTGAGGGTGCTTGGAGGTACAGTACAGACATGTTTAAGTCTGTGTAACAAGTGGTTTGCCGGGCTGTGGTGTGAGGTGCTAGTCGCTGTGATCCTACAATGCATGTGTGTGCTCTGGCTATAGGCTGACTACAGGCTTCCTTCCCCTGTCCGGATCAATACAATGTTTTCTGTTACAACTCTGCACTTAGTTTGGAGGTACACATTCATTGTAATGTATGTATGTCAGGCGAGCAGTGTTGAATGGCTGTAGTGGCTATAGAAACTGCTGAAGTCCAGATTTATCTTATAAACTCAACTATTCCATCATCCATCTCCAGCAGAGTGAACCACTTGGTATGAACTACTTGTTGTGAACCAGCTCCTGTGAATAGGGGCTGTCACCAGTCTGGACAGGTGGAGATGTGACATTTATATATTTCACAGTGTTAACTAATTGTGGTATGGATCTTTTTGTTGATGTGTTGAAATGTGGATCACCATGTGGATAGTGATTCTTGTGTCAACTCTTGTGTCCTGACAAGTAGTTACCATGGATACAGTGGGTAGCCTCAAATCAAACAATAACTTATAGAATTTCATGGCTGACTGCTAGCCATGTGTATTTCAAACTGACAAGGCATTAAGGTATGTATTGTATTATATATGGTCATACTATATACTGGTATATGTATTGTACTATTTACTGATATATGTAGGTATCAATTGTACTACGTTTGTATATACTGGTATATGTAGGTATGCATTGTACTATATACTGGTATATGTATTGTACTATAAACTGGTATATATATTGTACTATATACTGGTATATATATTGTTATATATTGTACTATATACTGGTATATATATTGTTGAATATATTGTACTACGTACTGGTATATATATTGTGCTATACTGGTATATGTATTGTACTATATACTGGTATGTATATTGTACTATACTGGTATATGTATTGTACTATACTGATATATATATTGTACTATATATATACTGGTATATGTATTGTACTATATACTGGTATATGTATTGTACTATATACTAGTATACATATTGTACTATATACTGGTATATATATTGTTAAATATATTGTACTATATACTGGTATATATATTGTACTATATACTGGTATATGTATTGTACTATACTGGTATATATATTGTACTATACTGGTATATGTATTGTACTATATACTGGTATATATATTGTTAAATATATTGTACTATATATATACTGGTATATGTATTGTACTATATACTGATATATGTATTGTACTATATACTGGTATATGTATTGTACTATACTGGTATATGTATTGTACTTTACTGGTATATATATTGTACTATACTGGTATATATATTGTACTATATACTGGTATATGTTTTGTACTATACTGGCATATATATTGTACTATATACTGGTATATATATTGTACTATATACTGGTATATGTATTGTACTATACTGGTATATGTATGGTACTATATACTGGTATATACATTGTACTATATACTGGTATATATATTGTACTATATACTGGTTTATATATTGTACTATATACTGGTATATATATTGTACTATATACTGATATATATATTGTACAATATACTGGTATATATATTGTACTATATACTGGTATATGTATTGTATTATACTGGTATATATATTGTACTATATACTGGTATATGTATTGTACTATATACTGGTATATATAGTGTACTTTATACTGGTATATATATTGTACTATATACTAGTATATATAGTGTACTATATACTGGTATATGTATTGTACTATATACTGGTATATGTATTATACTATATACTTGTATATATAGTGTACTTTATACTGGTATATATATTGTACGATATACTGGTATATGTATTGTACTATACAGGTATATATATTGTACTATACTGGTATATGTATGGTACTATATACTGGTATATACATTGTACTATATACTGGTATATTTATTGTACTATACTGGTATATGTATTGTACTATATACTGGTATATATATTATATATCACTAATAGACAACCTTGCCTTTCAGAGCTTTTTTGAACAAATAATAACATAAACAAAACAATAATCAACAACAACAGTGATTAGAAAGTAACAAAGTAATATTTTCTAGTTTTTAATGGCTATAGTGGTTGTTCAATTATTAGCTCACCTTCTGAAGAGATCTTCATCTATTTATCTCATAATTAGCAGGACATTGATATGTACTGTGTGTCAGTGTAACTAATGTTATGTTCTGTGTGTCAGTGTAAATAGTGTTCTGTTCTGTGTGTCAGTGTAACTAATGGTCTTTACTATTTGTCAGTGTAAATAGTGTTCTCTACTGTGTGTCAGTATAGCTAGTGTTCTGTACTGTGTGTCAGTGTAACTAATGTTTTTTACTGTGTGTCAGTATAGCTAGTGTTCTGTACTGTGTGTCAGTGTAACTAGTGTTCTGTACTGTGTGTCAGTGTAACTAGTGTTCTGTACTGTGTGTCAGTGTAACTAGTGTTCTGTACTGTGTGTCAGTGTAACTAGTGTTCTGTACTGTGTGTCAGTGTAACTAGTGTTCTGTACTGTGTGTCAGTGTAACTAGTGTTCTGTACTGTGTGTCAGTGTAACTAGTGTTCTGTACTGTGTGTCAGTGTAACTAGTGTTCTGTACTGTGTGTCAGTGTAACTAGTGTTCTGTACTGTGTGTCAGTGTAACTAGTGTTCTGTACTGTGTGTCAGTGTAACTAGTGTTCTGTACTGTGTGTCAGTGTAACTAGTGTTCTGTACTGTGTGTCAGTGTAACTAGTGTTCTGTACTGTGTGTCAGTGTAACTAGTGTTCTGTACTGTGTGTCAGTGTAGCTAGTGTTCTATACTGTGTGTCAGTATAACAGTTTTTCCTATCTAACCTAGACCCTGTTCCCTATGAAAGCATCACTATAAATAGTAGACAGCTTTTCCTGCCATAGTTTCCTGGCAATATGTGTTTACTATATCACTCAACAACATGTTTTACTACATTGCTCAAGTGTTTTACTGATTGAATCCTAGCCTATGTTCTCAAATTGAAATTAAGATTGACAAAATGTTTGGGATCAGATTTGCTGGGAAGGGTAACAATTAGTGTTATTGTCTGCTTATATTTTATTTATATTTATGTGGTACTGTATGTTTGTCTGTAGCAGTTTTGTATGACTGTGTTATTGTGTACCTTATCTTTAGGTCTCTGTTATAATGCTGTCTTTGAAATTGGTGCCCATCGGGTGACTATGTCTGTAGACAACATCATCACCTGAGGGCCATTGTACCCAGTTTAGGGCCAAGTTTGGGAGTCTATCTGTAGGGCCACAGTACACAGGTATAGGGTAATCATTGGGTGTCTACATCATCTCCAGGGTCATAGTATACAGGTATAGGGTGACCATTGGGTGTGTACATCATCTCCAGGGTCACAGTATACAGGTATAGGGTGACCATTGGGTGTGTACATCATCTCCAGGGTCACAGTATACAGGTATAGGGAGATCATTGTGTGTCTACATCATCTCCAGGATCACAGTATACAGGTATAGGGTGACCATTGGGTGTGTACATCATCTCCAGGGTCACAGTATACAGGTATAGGGTGATCATTGTGTGTCTACATCATCTCCAGGGTCACAGTATACAGGTATAGGGTGACCATTGGGTGTGTACATCATCTCCAGGGTCACAGTACACAGGTATAGGGTGATCATTGGGTGTGTACATCATCTCCAGGGTCACAGTATACAGGTATAGGGTGATCATTGGGTGTGTACATCATCTCCAGGGTCACAGTATACAGGTATAGGGTGACCATTGGGTGTGTACATCATCTACAGGGTCACAGTAAACAGGTATAGGGTGATCATTGGGTGTGTACATCATCTCCAGGGTCACAGTATACAGGTATAGGGTGATCATTGGGTGTGTACATCATCTCCAGGGTCATAGTATACAGGTATAGGATGATCATTGGGTGTCTACATCATCTACAGGGTCACAGTACACAGGTATAGGGTGATCATTGAGTGTCTACATCATCTACAGGGTCACAATACACAGGTATAGGGTGACCATTGGGTGTCTACATCATCTATAGGGTCACAGTACACAGGTATAGGGTGATCATTGAGTGTCTACATCATCTACAGGGTCACAGTACACAGGTATAGGGTGATCATTGGGTGTGTACATCATCTCCAGGGTCATAGTATACAGGTATAGGATGATCATTGTGTGTCTACATCATCTACAGGGTCACAGTACACAGGTATAGGGTGATCATTGGGTATCTACATCATCAACAGGGTCACAGTACACAGGTATAGGGTGATCATTGAGTGTCTACATCATCTACAGGGTCACAGTACATAGCTATATGGTGACCATTGGAGTTGAAATCATCGACAGGGTCACAGTACACAGGTATAGGTTTCTTATTGGGTGCCTACATCATCTACAGGGTCACAGTACACAGGGATAGGGTGATCATTGAGTGTCTACATCATCTACAGGGGCACAGTACACAGGTATAGGGTGATCATTGGGTATCTACATCATCTACAGGGTCACAGTACCCAGGTATAGGGTGATCATTGAGTGTCTACATCATCTACAGGGTCACAGTACATAGCTATATGGTGACCATTGGAGTTGAAATCATCGACAGGGTCACAGTACACAGGTATAGGTTTCTTATTGGGTGCCTACATCATCTACAGGGTCACAGTACATAGCTATATGGTGACCATTGGAGTTGAAATCATCGACAGGGTCACAGTACACAGGTATAGGTTTCTTATTGGGGGTCTACATCATCTACAGGGTCACAGTACACAGGGATAGGGTGATCATTGAGTGTCTACATCATCTACAGGGTCACAGTACACGGGTATAGGGTGATCATTGAGTGTCTACATCATCTACAGGGCCACAGTACACAGGGATAGGGTGACCCTTGAGAGTCTTCATCATCTACAGGGCCACAGTACACAGGCATAGGGTGACCCTTGAGAGTCTTCATCATCTACAGGGGCACAGTACACAGCTATATGGTGACCATTGGAGTTGAAATCATCTATAGGGTCACAGTACACAGGTATAGGATGATCATTGGGTGTCTACATCATCTACAGGGCCACAGTACACAGGTATAGGGCGAATTTGGGGTTCACATGATCTCCAATGCCACAGCTTCATGTACTGCAAGTATTGAGTCCTAATTGAATTACCAGACATTTTCAATCTTCAAAAATGTTGCTTTTAACTAATTGTCGTACATACAATCACTTATTGCTTCAACTTTACAATAATTTGACTTGTAGAACATGTGCATTGATTATGGGGACCTCCAATCTATGCTTGGTTTATGTTCTTTTTCACGTGTTTGAAGATTAATTTTTATTTTAATCCAATTTTGTACAAAAGATTCTTGGGACACAGAGAATCAATGACATACAATCAATGGGTATCAACCGGGGACAGATGGTAGAAAAAAAGAGTATCAACCGGGGACGGATGGTAGAAAAAAAGGATATCAAGTGGGGACAGAGGGTGAACACAAAGGTATCTACTGGGGACAGCGGGATGGAAACAAGGGTATCTACTGGGGACAGAGGGGTGGAAACAAGGGTATCAACTGTGGACAGAGAGTGGAAACAAATGTATATAATGGGGACAGAGGGGTGGAAACAAGGGTATCAACCAGGGACAGAGAGTGGAAACAAGGGTATCACCTGGGGACAGAGGGGTGGAAACAAGGGTATTTACTTTGGAGAGAGAGTGGAAACAAGGGTACACCTTGGGACAGAGGGGTGGAAACAAGGGTATCACCTGGGGACAGCGACTGGAAACAAGGGTATCACCTGGGGACAGAGACTGGAAACAAGGGTATCTGCTGGGGACAGAGGGGTGGAAACAATGGTATTACCTGGGGACAGAGAGTGGAAACAAAGGTATCACCTGGGGACAGAGAGTGGAAACAAAGGGTATCACCTGGGGACAGAGAGTGGAAACAAAGGTATCACCTGGGGACAGAGAGTGGAAACAAAGGGTATCACGAAACAAGGGTATCAACTGGGGACAAAGGGGAGGAAACAAGGGTATATAATGGGGACAGAGGTGTTGAAACAATGGTATCAACTGGGGACAGAGAGTGAAACAAGGGGATATAATGGGGACAGAGAGGTGGAAACAAGGATATCAACTGGGAACAGAGGGGTGGAAACAAGGGTATCAACTGGAGACAGAGGGGTGGAAACAAGAGCATCAACTGGGGAATGAGGGCTGGAAACAAGGGTATCAACTGGGGACAAAGGGGAGGAAACAAGGGTATATAATGGGGACAGAGGGTTGGAAACAAGGATATCAACTAGGGACAGAGGAATGGAAACAAGGGTATATAGAGAGTGGAAACAAGGGTATCACCTGGCGACAGAGGGGTGGAAACAATGGTATCACCTGGGGACAGAGGGATGGAAAAAAGGATATCAACTGGGGACAGATGGATGTAAAGAAGGGTATATACTGGGGACAAAGGGGAGGAAACAAGGGTATATAATGGGGACAGAGGGTTGGAAACAAGGATATCAACTAGGGACAGAGGAATGGAAACAAGGGTATATAATGGGGAGACAGAGGGGTGGAAACAAGGGTATCAACCAGGGCCAGAGAGTGGAAACAAGGGTATCACCTGGCGACAGAGGGGTGGAAACAATGGTATTACCTGGGGACAGAGAGTGGAAACAAAGGTATCACCTGGGGACAGAGAGTGGAAACAAAGGTATCACCTGGGGACAGAGAGTGGAAACAAAGGTATCACCTGGGGACAGAGAGTGGAAACAAAGGGTATCACGAAACAAGGGTATCAACTGGGGACAGAGAGTGGAAACTAGGGGATATAATGGGGACAGAGGGGTGGAAATATCAACTGGGGACAGAGAGTGGAAACTAGGGGATATAATGGGGACAGAGGGGTGGAAATATCAACTGGGGACAGAGAGTGGAAACTAGGGGATATAATGGGGACAGAGGGGTGGAAACAGGGGTATCAACTGTGGACAGAGAGTGGAAACAAATGTATATAATGGGGACAGAGGGGTGGAAATATCAACTGGGGACAGAGAGTGGAAACTAGGGTATATAATGGGGACAGAGGGGTGGAAATATCAACTGGGGA